TATTTGGCAGAACCAGCTCGGCACCAAGATTGCTTTGGAAGCAGAAATATGATCCTGCCTTGACAACAGTGAGACAGCTTCTGGCAGTGTAACATCCTTTCTCTACAATTGTTTTGAGAGATTCCTAAGTTCAGACAGTACATCATACATGACGCCTATATTACTAAAAATTCCACAACTACAAGAACATTTAAAAATGAATGTACTTTGGTGAAATGCCTACAAGAAGACCTGCAAAACTTGTGCCTCACTGGGGTAACCAAATGTATGGTGGCCTAGTAATTGCTTGATTTTCCTAGTTTTGCAATCCCAGCCATGCAGAAACAGAGGTTTTACTGAACCCCCAGGTGGGCCACTATTCATGGATGGTAGATATCATCTGATTTGGTGGATCTGAATTTGTGCCAGCTGAGACTACATCTGTAATGATTCCAAGGCACCTTTAGCACAATTTTCACTGAAATTATATCTGCTTAAGCTAAAAAGTTGTTGGGATATCACCATACTATATTTGTACAGTGGTTAAAGGTTCTTAGAGACATATAAAAATATATTCTATACAGAATGAAAAATAATTCTTAGGAACGAAAATTCAGCAGACTACCACTGTTTGCAGCATGTATCATGGTATCAAATCTTCTAGTTATATTATCACCAGAATAAGATGGAAAAATCCATGTCATTCCTAGAAAGTGCATACATGTAGTACTACCAGAATTATTATTGCAATATTTGTTTACATCAGTGTCAATTCTTTCCCAAATTTTCAGGATGACTCAATCTTTTCCTCCTCTTCCCTCTCATGTATAAATCTTCATTAAAATATTAATATGATTATCTATTTTAACAGTAGCCTATCAGTTGTAGAATTCTCTCACCTTGTGAAACTAAAAACATTCCCTTCCACTCAGCTTTTTAGTCAAGATTTCTCTGCTCATTATTTTAGCTTCTATTTTCAATTGTTTTCCTAACCTGTTTTCATTATTTGGATGTCTGTTATAAGTCATCTTGTGAGGGTTCTCTATTTAAATAATCATATAAATTTATAAAATACAGAAAGATCAAAGGTGACTCTTAGAGATCCTTTTTTCATCAGGAAGGTGCTCCATTTCCAAAAGAAGTTGTAGAAAATTGAAAAGTTTAAATAGGAAAGTTTAAATTCACAAGGAACATGTGCTTATCAACCCACTTTTCTACAGGTTCCTGACTTCTTGCATATACATAAAACCTAATAGTTTGAATATTAGAAAACCTATGGTCATTATCATTTTCTTCCAAGGAAAAGATGGAGGTGGTGTGGAAAGGAGGGTTACAAAACAATCTTATAAACATGCAATGAGACCTGCCTTCCCCTCAACCTTTCCCTGGAATGCCTTTAGGATACTCCAAATCAGTCCAAATATGTTTTATGTTAGGGCTCAAACTTATCTTTTCCCTGCCCCTCTTCACTATGTGTTTATACATGAAAATGGTTATGTAAGTCAAAGCTGACCTTTCCAAATAATGGCCACTCAGTTGTAGCCTAGCAGCAAGATATTCTGAGCTTCCTTTACAGATGGTAGAGAGGAATGGGCACTTACAAGAGAGGTCCAGAAAGGTTTGTGCAGTACAGCATAGCCTTCTGTCAGTTGCGTTCTATGTGTTTCATTAGGATCACCATGACTGCCTGGGAACTAGGTGTTCCAGGCAGCTTGCATAAAGAGATTGGCGCAGTGCCCTTCCTGGAACAGACACTTGTATGGATGTCAATTCTGGAGACATTTTCAGTTGCATATCATGAGTGCCAACCAGATGTGTGACTTGGGTGACTGGTACCAAGAGTTCAAGGTTGTTTTCACAAATGGGATAACGGCACCATGCCCAACCTCAAACTGGCAAGTGGAGGTGAGTTCAGGAGAGAATTTCTGCAGTATACTAAGGACATTAGATAGAAGAGTTTACTGTATGCTTTGGCAGACCTTGGCTGTTAGAGGCGGGGATTCTGGGTTGCTTTACTAAATGGGGTGTGTCAACATGCAGTGCACAGAATCAACATTTAAGCATGGATTTCTTTGGGGGAGGGTGTATTCAGTACATTGTGAATAGCAGCTGACAGCATGTTGCAGTTACTTTCTGACTGCTGAGACTGTTTTACAAATTAGTTGTTTCTATACAATTTTTGTGTATGGTAAAATAGCCCCATGCCCTTCTGCCAACATTTGGAGGGCAGTTATGAACATGGATTCTTCTATACTAACTGACAGCTGGACAGACTGCATATTTTGCTTCTGTGTACTCATGGACATTTTGTCAATAGAAAGTAGTGCCACGCGTAGCTTTCAACAGGTACATTATGGCATTTAGGGCCACAATATATGTTGATGTCATAAATAGGTGTGCTTGTAAAGGCAATTTTAAGCAGTTGAACTAATGAGGAAGCAAGTATTCAGTGATATTTTAATGAATGGATACCATTCAAATCTGGCTCTGAGATAATTAAGTGCATGGATGCTGTCAGAACTCCCACCCCAAACAGGAGCCTAGACTTAGGCTCTGACATAAAGGGAAACTAGTAGCACCAAAGAACTACTCAAAACCATCCTGGGTCTTTGCATAACGATCTGATCACAGTTTGGGGTTATTAAGCTAGATATTCCTGAGTCAGGCTGTCCGGAGTTACTACCTGAGAAGCCTGCATCCCTAAGAAAACACTCCCATACACACCAGGTACACACATCTCCATCTAGATCTATCCACATACATAGAGGGGACTGTCAGAAAGGGTGAGATATACTAGGCTCTAAGCCAGAGTTCTAGCCCTTGGTTTCATTCCTCAAACACACACAAATGTAGTCCAGAAAACCAGAAAAGGCAAGGTTTAAGAAATCTAGTACGGAGATTGGAAGCAGGCTGGCCAAATCATAGGGATTGCAAGGCAAAGAGCCAGGAACAAGCCAAGGATATCAGAAAGCTGGACAAACAATTGATGTGGCATGAGCAACTGCTGCCTTGATCATCTTGTGGTTCAGTATGTGGATGTAAGAAATGCCCTGCTTGATCAAGAAAAAGTTCTAGTTCATCATTTTTTAGGAAGACCACAAGAAAGTCTTGTAAGATTTCCATTTTTTAAATGATATTCAGAGCTACACTACCTCTAAACCTGGATGAGCCAGTTAACTTTCATGGCTAATAGAAATCAAATAAATAGGTGTTGAATAGGTCTCGCTTATCGAAATTCATTTCCCTTTAAAGCAAGTGGTCATTACCATGTGTTGTTGCAGTAAATTCTATGTGAATTATGTGTTAGTGAAGTAGTATTTTTGTTTGCCATGCAGTTTCAAGTGATGAACCCCTTGTCTATTCCCTTTCATCACAGAATGCAGTTCTGTAAATATGTCCTCCCCTACTCCCAGTTTTTTTTCCTAATCCCCAAAGCCCAAAGTGCTAGTTTCCCTCATGGTTAGTGAATAACTCTGCTGTCTCTCTCTTAATGCTTATTTAGTAGGTGGTTGCATTTCATCTCCTTCCAATAGCTTCTTGCTAGTTCTTTTGAGTCTGCTTCTTCCGCTGTGGCTCTGAGACAAGGCATAAAAATGCAAAATCATAGTGCTGGCATGAAGTATCTCAGGGTCTTTTGTGGAAGAAAATCTGAGGTAGAATTCTTCCAGAAGTCACTTTCTGTAAACTTGGCACTTCTTCCATTTAAGGTGAGAAAGTTGGATCTGAAGAGGTTAAGACTTTTGGGACCTAATAGGTGCATCTCTTATCCTCTGGTAAGAATGGTAGGGACCCTCTACCACTATGGCTTGGCCACTTGGCCATTTTGAGCAGTATCCAACTGTGGCATTCTACAAACGCAAATGGTGATAGGATTATGTAACTGGTTATGCAACAGCCTAAACAAGAATTATGTGCAACCTGCTGCAGAACAGTAAGTTAATACTGGGATTAACTCTCTGTCCTGAGAGTTCTCTTTGTAGGAACCAACCAGCCCCTTGAATTGGGCTCAGAAACATACAGGCAAGAATTGGTGGGTCAGAATTGGTGTTATATGCTCGGTCCATCTGGACTCAGTCATCAACCAGATCACATTCCTCCAACATAGATCATCATACAAGATGACCAAGACTGGTTTTGTCACAAACCTAGCCTGAGCCCCACCTGAAATGGATCTAATAAACAAACAAACAAAAAAAATGGTAGTTTCTTCAGCTTGTCCCAGCACTCCCTGTGCTTTAAAAAGGCCTTTTTTTCAGGAAGTAAATTAAAAGTTACGAGCCAGTGAGAGAGGGAGGAAAAGGTGTTGGGAAGGAATTCACCAGCGCACGAACAGCCAGCCGTTGAGCAACCCACGCGAGGGGCGGCGAAGGGGCGCGGGGCCGAGCGGACGCGGACCTACTTCCTCGTGGCGGGGAAGGGGCGCGGGCGGCGGCCTCCAAAATCCACGCGCCCTTCCGGAGGGCCCCCCTCGCCGTCTGTCACGGAGCTGCGCTCGGCCTTACCTGCCGGGGAGCCTGTCCCCGTGGGGTGCCGCGAGACTTACTCCCGAGGAAGGCGCGATTAAGTTATTGCGCCGTTATAGCGCTTATTTACTCCCGAGGAAGGCGCGATTAAGTTATTGCGCCGTTATAACGCTTTCTTTCTCCCTCTGCCCCCTCCTTTCCATTGGCGACCGTTAGGATCCAACGGCCCTCCTTGCGCTTCTCCGGTTGTCTGCCTTCCGAGACAAACCTGGGCCCTGAGGCGGGAGCGGAGCGGGCTGGGGTGCGAGTACAGGCGGCATGGAAGAAAGGCATGACAAAGTTGAGAGCCCAACGCGCCGCCGCCGCAACACGCGCCTCGGCCCGGGGGTGTGTCCTGTAAGCGCGCGAACGGCCGTTACGGTCGTTGAGCGCTGGGAGGCGACAGAGAGTTCCCTCCGCGAGCGCAGCTCGGAGCGAGAGAGAAAGAGATACTTTTACCTTTCGCTCTCCCTCCCCCTTTACCCACCATGCCCCGAGTCCGGACTCTTCTCCAGCGTTGCGTCGCCGCCCGCGCTCCAGCAGCGGAGCCCGCGGCTGCTGGTGCCTTCGGCGTGCCTTTCTTTTGAAAAGATGAAGGCGGCGGCGCCAGGAGGGAGGAGGAGAAGCTGACGAGCCCCTTTCCTCGCCCAAGCTGTTCCCGCGCGACCACCATGAGGGAAGAGAAAGACGCCGCCTCCCCCGCACCCCCTCACGGGCACAACAAACTTGCCAGCCAAGCTCCGGACAGCGCCGCGGCGCGTTCCGAGCCCAGCAGCCTGAGGAACGGCTACGTGAAGGGATGCGCGACCCCGCTTCCCCAGAGCCCGCCGCTGGGCTTCCTGTCTCTGCTCCCGGCCGCTTACCGCCGGGCGCTCTTCTTCGCTCTGGGCGCCGCGGCGGCTGCCCCAGCGCTCCTCTTGTGCTGGTGGTTCCCGTGGAGGGACAGCGAAGGGGAGGCGGCGACGGGGAGCCCCCGCGAGGCGGCCGGGCTCTTCCCGCTGGTCGGGCTGTGCGAGTGCTTGAGCCCTCTCTTCAGCCTCGCCTGCGCCTTCTTCTTCCTCACCTGCTACCTGGCCCGGGGCGAGTCTGGCGGCTCCTGGTGGCTCCTGGCATTGCCCGTGTGTTGCTACTCGGGGGACGTGGTGGCGCTGCAGTGGCTCCTGCTGCCCCGCCAAGACGAGGCGGAGGAGGGCGCCCCCCAGCCCTCACCGGCCGAACTGCGAATGGTGGCCGGGCGGCTGCTGGCCGCGCTGAGCTCGGTGGCCGGGCTGACCCTCTTGCAGCGCAGCCTCAGACTCCGCAGGAGCCTGATCGTCTTGGTTTTCTCCAGCCTCGTGTGGCTGGTCTCGCTCACCAGCCTGGGCTCCCTGCCGCCGGCCCTTCGGCCGCTGCTCTCCGGCTTAGTCGGGATGGTGGGCTGCCTGCTGGCGCTGCTGGGTGGGGAGCACTGCATCTTCCCTCCTTGCTGTTCACCGGGCCGGGGACCGCAGCACCAGCCTCAGCACGCTCACCCGAAGTTGCTCAGCAGCGCGGAGGAGAAAGTGCCCGTCATCCGACCCAGGAGGAGATCCAGCTGCGTGTCCTTGGGGGAGACGTCCACTAGTTATTATGGCAGCTGCCAAATGTCCAGGAGACCTTCGCTGCCGTGCATTTCCAGAGAACAGGTAAGCAGTTGCCTTGTGGGAAGGAGGTGAAGCATAACTTCTGTAGCAGAACTTCTAAGTAAGCGATGCTTCGTGCGTGAACATCTTGCAACTCTGAACAGCTCGGTGAAAGGAAAACGCTCGCGCACCACATTAGGCGCTCAAATCACTCGTGTGTGTGTGTGTGTGTGTGTGTGTGTGTGTATCGATGAACCTGTCCAAGCAAACAGTGATGTTTACGTTAAAGCCGGATCACGTATATCCATAGAACTCGGTTTCTCCTTCACTGTGTCTTCTCCAAAAGGGAGTTGTTCCTGCCGAATCCTTCCTAAATGGTTTAATGATACTTAAAGAGAGGTAGCCATTATTAATAACCTATTTATTAACCTATTGCAGCAAAAATTGCAGTTCTATAACCCCCTATGCCTAATATTTATAGCCTTTAAATGTTACATGATCCTTCTTGATTTTCTGATATGTGACTTGAGTGCAAGACAGCTATGCATAATTAATTTTACAGGAAGATAAAATCTAAACCTTATTAGACCTTTGTAACAATGCTAACTATGTTACTGCCTGAGTTTCTCTTTTTATATAATAAACTCTCAAAAAAGTGATGCATTTTATTCAGCCACTTTTTGTTACAGTATTTTAACTTCTGTGCTGCCAAGTTGACATAAATAACCAGGATGTTAACTAAAACAATTCAAGCAATGCGTTAATTAAATACATACTAAATTTTGGAACTAGTTTGGCACTGCTTTTATTTCACTGTCAGTCCCCCAAGCCCATGATGGGAGAAAAGTGGTGTGAACACACGGACTGATTTCTTTCATCAACTGTTTATTTAGTTTCTTTTGCGGTGCTAGTTGTGAGTTCTTTAACACAACCAAATAATCTGGACAAACTTCGCTGAGAGAAAAAATAAACACAATCTGCTATACTTTGATAATAGTAACTAGATACTAAAGATGTTAATGTTTCATTGGATGCATTGAAACAGAGGTCTGAGGAAAGGCTATTGGGAGAGCCGTACCAATATTTGTTAATGCAGATTCAAGTTTTTAAGCAGGTGATATTTGGAACCTGAAATTTTCAAATTCAGCTGTAAAGGAACACAAAGCTCTGAATGGTTTATTTCCATAGGAAGCTACTGACAAACTTATTGTGTTTGGGTGACTGAATCAAACCATTTTTGTTAGTAGTACTTGCTCTTAAAGGGGTTATTTGCAGGCACAAATTTTCTATTGATTGATCCTGGATTTATCTCGCTTATTTAAGAATAATACATTATTTTGCACCGGCAAAGTATGACCCAAATGGAAATTGTCTCTGAAATTGCTTCATAGTATATAGCTAGTAGTCTTTGGTATAGGACATTCTTATAATTGAAAAAAGTGACCATGACAGGTAAGTGTCCAGTACCAAATTAGGAAAGCATCTGTGCAGCTTCTCTTGATCTGGCTGCTCCTCACATCATTTCAGGAAAAATCTGTAACTGGCACCTTAAAGCTTCAGTTCTGTGCCTGCATACTTAGTTCCACTGACCTAAGTAGGGCTTACTAATGAGTAACCACGGTTTTGATTGGAGTACACAGCACACAAATATCAAACTTCTAAACTGAGCATTTAATCTGTAGCTGTAAAGGGCATGAATATGCTTGAGCTTGCTTAATAGTTTGTGTTAGTTTATATGTCCTGCAATCTATTTTAGAACTCTATTTTAAATTGCTTTTATTTTTCTAAAAATAACTTCTGATCAAAATTACAATGGTAAGGGAATTTACATGGTGATTTTATTTACATGGGATAGAACTGAAAATCTATGTTCCTTATATTTGTTATAGAGCCCAACAGTATTCAATATTTTATACTACAATTCTGTAAATATGTATTTTAAAATACAATATATTAGTTGTTTCAGAAATAGTTTGTTACTTTAAACATAAACTAATATTATACATATGCACAGCTGAGAAATATGTAAATAGATCGAAGCTGTTATCTTACATATACTTTCCTGGATAAAGCAACATTGAACTCAATGGGACATACTTCTGAGTAGACATGTACAGGGTTGAACTTTATGTAAAGAAAGTAAAGAAAAATGCATGTTGAAGCCATTTTTTGAACATAAGTTTTATTATATTTGTAGAAGAATAGGAATTAAACATTTTCAAGTGGTATATTTAATATAGTGCATTACCTCAGCATTCAAATCATAGGAGTTTTATCCTAGGTGTTTATGTTAAATTAATGCTAAATTAAATTATCCTATGTGTTCCTGTTCTTTCCCAAAGACCCTTTAATTATATATTAATGCCAAATCTTAACAGAAGCAATGTCTCCTAGTTTTCTTCTTTTAAAAGCAGTACAGAGTCAGGTTTTTGTTTGTCTTGGTAAATACATTCCAATAAATCAAGTCAGAGATAATTATTTCAGCAGTTGGATATTTTTGTCATAAGAGCAACATTTTGACGCTCCAATTTAGAAAAATACAAAACAAAGAAAACAAAGTATATTTTTTCATTTGAGGGAATATTATGAAAATACAAAATTACCAGAGCATTACTGAGCATATACTTCAAACTTGAGATCTTTCTGGAAATTGGTATATAGTTCTATGATGTCAGTACTGAACCTAAACCAAACCAAACAAGTAAGAGAGAGACATGTACTGTATGCAGCAGTACAAGCTTGAGTTCAGCTTCTTTTAACATCAGCTGCTTGAACATTGATAGTTCCCATTAAAAAGTATCTGATTTCAGTATCAGACCACATATATGATGTACCATAGCAAAAAGAACTTTGCATATAACTGATGCCTGAGAAGGTGACATGTGTTTTCACTTCTTCTTTTTATGCAGCTGGTGTAACCTTTGAAAAGGAACTTGTATGAGAGAGATGTGCAAGTTGCAAATGAGGAAATAACCTGTGCATCTCTCCAATGCAAGTGCATTTTGTACTGCTGCACCAGCCATACCAAAACAGGAAGTACATTTCATTCATGAATTGTGCTTCCTCTGTTCCTACCTGAAAGAAACATGCAAAGTTTATAATTTGTTTTAATTAAGATATAACATTTGTACTTTGTATATGATTGATATTAGAGGGAGGAGGAATAGACTTTGAATAACCTGAGGGAAAATGGGAATTTATTATATGCCCCTATTTCCTAAATTACTACCTGCAATTTTTCTAAGCATTTGAGATGCTGTAGCTTAAAAGCTACTGATTACCAATAGCATGAAACATGGCAAGTTAGTTAAACATAGTAAGGTACTAAGAGTTAAATCCCAGGCACAGTGTTCCTTGTAAAAGGAAAAGGAAAAATGCATTAAAAAGTATTACAATTGTATTACAATCAGTGTGCACAAGTTAAGAAGGAATGTTACAATTTGCCAAAACCAGATTTTCTTTATCCACTGTGGAGAAAGGCGCGATATACTTGCTTTGTTAGAGGTCTTTGTTTAACTGTTCAAGTAAGTATAATATAGGGTCAGTCCATGTCCCTTCAGCATGTTATCCCTGGCCAAGACCAATTACAGCTACACAGGTATTTTAGATAAGCATCAGGAAGTAAGATTACATTGGAATCTGACCTTCCCTTTAATAGGGATGACATTTATAATTGACAAAATATCCTTGCCTTCTCGGAACTGGAACTAATTGATATATACATTTATTTATGTGTTGCATTTCTATCCCTTCTTTTCTTCCAAGGAGCCCAAGGGAGCTTTCCATTTTATCTTCTCAGCAACCCTGTGAGGTAGCTTAGGTTGAGAGGTGCTGACTGTTTCAAAGTCATTGAGTGAATTTCCTGGTTGAATGGGGACTTAAACCAGGTCTCTCCAGTCCTAGTCCATCACTTTAAAAGCTACACCACACTGTGGAGATAGGGTATGTGAAAACTGATCCAGGTAGATAAAATATGAAAGACTTCATAGTTGTGCTTGAAATTGGACTAGCATATCAATTAAACACTCTGGAAAAGCAGCGTGTAGCAAACACCTCTCTCAAGAAAGACTGGTTTCCTTTAGTGGCTGCTCAGGTATTTGATAAAATATGTGTGTGTAGAGTTATTTTTTCAAGGTTTGCTGTTTCAGTAGGCTCTGATCATCTTATAAAAAAGAATAACCATAATGCACTTGATCAGTTAAAGCCTTTATTATGTTGGTAGAGACTAATGCCAAAATATGAAAGTACTTTTTTTACTTGACTAGAAAAAATTGCTTGGTTAATTATCTTGAATTGGAAATGTTTAAGCCAGGATTTGAGAGCCAGTGTGGTGTAGTGGTTAAGAGCAAGGGTCTGGGACACAGGAAATCTGTGTTCTGTTCTGCCGCTTAGTCATGGACTGAACTGGGTAACTCTGGGTCAGTCACAGAGACTCAGCCCAACCTACCTCACAGGGTTGTTGTGGGGAAAAGATTGAGAGCAGGAGGAGAATGATATAAGCTGATCTGAGTTCTTTAAAAAAGAAAAAGGCAGGCTAAAAATGTAATAAATCAATGAATGTAATTTTTTTACTCTCTAAATAGAAGTTTTAATGCTTGTGACTGGCCATACTAGAAATGATAGGATTTAGGATAGCACCTAAAAATCAAATTCCAGAAAAGGAGCAGTGTTCTGCTGTTTTGTCAAGCAGAAAGTATCGTGGAACTACAGGCATACCTTGGAGATACTGTGGGTTTGAAGTACAATAAAGAGAATATTGCAATAAAGCAATATTTTGGTTTCCCAGTGCATATAAAATTTATGTTTACAATATACTGTTGTCTATTAAGTATGCAAAAGCATTATGTCTAAAAATGTACATAGCTTAATTAAAAAACACTTTATTGCTAAAAAAAATGCTAACTGTTATCTGATGCTACAAGAGTATCATCAAAGATCCCAGCTTACCACAAGCACACAACAGATACAATAATATTAAAAATTTTGAAATATTGAGAGAATAGCCAAAATGTGACACCAAGACACTGAGCAATGCTGTTGAAAAAATGATGCCGATTGACTAG